AGAGGTGGGACACAAGTTTGGCACCGGTGACCTCAGGACTATAAACAACTTGCCAATAGAAACATAAAAGCAGACCCAGAGCTGGACAAAACTGGATTTAGGGTTAACAAAAGGAATGAAAAAATAGTATTGAACAAACATAAAAGCCACCATGTGCAGTAAGTTTGGTTGTAATGTGGAGCTGCAGATTGGTGAAGAAGAAGTGAGATGTAAAAGTGTGTTAGCAAACATATAAAACGATCCTATGCAGATCCAAGATGGAGGAAGAAGAAGCCATCAACATTAACATCATATTCCCTGCAGCGACCAGCTCCAGCTGCTGACACCTCACCTTACCACCCCAAACAACCACCACCAGAATGAAACCACCAACGTTAGGACCCAGCAGAGCAGGGGAAAGGTGAGGGTAATATCAGGAAGAAGAGTAAAATCTAGGAAGTATGTATATGTTTTAGCTGTCATATTATTGTATTGATACTGATTTTTTTTCTGCATAGACTTATTTTTTTCTTTTTCTGCAACAATTATGTCTGCCCTAATAATGATACTTGGATTAGACTTCTAAGATTTAGCCATACTAACTATAAATTCTTGATTTTATATATATATGAGGTGTGTTTCCTCTTTGCCTGTGAAGAAGATTTTGAGTGTAACAATAGACAAAGATATACACCAAAAAAGATAGTTTCTAAGTGCTTTCTGGGATGAACTTTCAAAGGGTCACCAAAAAAGAACATAACATATATAAGCTTTTCTGTATTCAAAAGTGCTGGCAAACTATTGCACCTGAATATGAAAACAGCATACATAAAAGAGACCATGTAAAATTGAAAATTTTGTGGGAAAATTAAGAAAGGCACTTCAAAATCTGTCCCTTGACATCTAAAATAAATATAAACCCCCAAAAAACCCTGTATTGCATTGGTCTTTTTTGTTCTTGTTCAACCAGAGAATCGTTTTTTCTTTGTCAGAAAATAAAACATTTTGGCTGATGAATGTGAACAGATTGGCATGTTATTCACACAAGATTGAATAAATACAGGGATTTTCCAGGGGTGAGGCAGGGAGTGTGTACAGATTAGTAATATTTTCTTCTATCAGTGGGCAAGCATCGCTGCGCAACGGGATCAGAGCAAGGCTGACTCTTAACTATGCAATCTACTGAGTTTATCCAGGATATTTAAGGAAAAATCAGAATGATCATTCATGTTTGTATCATCTTCTCAGTAATTAAGGTGGGGTTCACACCGGGCCATACATTCTGAGATGAGCTTATGCTATTAGCAGCTTTCATCTGCTTGCCTAGGGTTTGTTTTACTGTGTGCACAGATGAACATGGCCCCAGGAAAAAAATCTGCAGAAAATCCTCCACTTCCAGATTTGCAGAATAAACTATTTGGATCTTAGCGCAAGTATTTTCTCTCAATGCACACGCATAATTTTCTTGTGAATGGGATTTATGCGTGCACATCAAAAGCAGAAAATCCCTAAGGGCTCAGTATAAGCCAACAATAGCAAAGAAATTCAGGAATCTCCCACCAGAGCATGCCCTGTTTTGCCTATCTTACATCACGCAGACTTTGAATGACATCTGCGGCAGCCAGGCAAAACGGGACATGCATTGGCTTTATGGCTGTTCGTTTTTAAGGCTTAAAATTAAGCCCTGAAGAACTTGCTGTCTTCCTAAAGAGAGCACATCACCTGCGGGAGATGGGGTTGGTGATAGCTGGGTACATGCAAAGCGAGGGAACGCTCCCCACCGCGTGCTGGTGGGGCTGCAGCGTGGGGATGCTCACAACCATACCTTCGGATGGTTTTGGGGTTTTTTTTTCTTAGATATGAAGAGAAGAGGTGCCGTGGAGGTGGCATTAGCTCCCTGAGGAGACCCGGGCCGGGGTGGGTGGCCTGGGTTTCAGACCATTTCAGTGCTGTTTCTGAGCAGCAGAGGCCCAATCTGTAGGGCTGAACCAGAGGCTGAGCGGCGTGAGTCCCCACCCTGAGGGTGCGGAGGAGCCGTGCCCACTGATGATGATGATGATGATGATGATGATGATTTCAGGAACAGTGTGGTGACTAGGACCCGAGAGGTGATCGTCCCCCTTTACTCGGCACTGGTGAGGTCCCATCATGAGTACTGTGTCCAGTTTTGGGCCCCTTACCACAAAAAAGACATTGAGGTGTTGGAGCGGGTCCAGAGAAGGGCAACGAAGCTGGTGAGGGGTCTGGAGAACAAGTCTTATGAGGAGAGGCTGAGGGAGCTGGGGTTGTTCTGTCTGGAGAAGAGGAGGCTGAGGGGAGACCTTATCACGCTCTACAACTACCTGAAAGGAGGGTGTAGAGAGATGGGGGTCGGTCTCTTTTCTCAAGTCACAGGAGATAGGACAAGGGGAAACGGCCTCAAGTTGCACCAGGGGAGGTTTAGATTGGATATTAGGAAAAATCTCTTCACGGAAAGGGTTATCCAGCATTGGAATGGGCTGCCCAGGGAAGTGGTTGAGGCACCATCCCTGGAGGTGTTCAAAAGATGGGTTGACATGGTCCTCAGGAATATGGTTTAGTAGTTTGTTTTTTTCTTATTTATTTTTTTTTGTCAGCGTGAGGTTGATGGTTGGATTAGATGATCTTTAAGGTCCCTTCCAACCTAGATGATTCTATGATTCTAAGATTATTATTAATTATTATATTATTAAGCAACCATAACAATAACTTAATAATAAACAAATAAACAATCCCTACCCTCCCTCCTTCCCCCCCCTCAAACAAGCCTTTAAAGGGGAATGAGGTAGCCAGAATCTCATGGTGCATAAAGCCACGGGGGAGGGAGGCGCCGGCCCCGCGCCCCGCCCCGGCCCCGCTCAGCCCCGGGGGCGCGGATCGGCGCGGAGCTGCGCGGAGGCGGGGCGCTGCGATGTGCAGGATGTCGTTCAAGGTGAGCCGGGCGCTGGAGCGGGGGGGGGATGCCCGTTTGGTGCTCGCCGTTTCGCCGGCATCCCGGGAAATGCTCCCTTATATCCTTGGATCTGGGGACTGATTGGATTTATTTTTATATAAATATATATATTAGGGAAAAACGGGGGTGGTTTAGGGAGGAAGGAAAGCAAACAGCAGCCTCCATCCCGGGCTGTGGGGTGCCCCGGGAGTGCTGCGGTGGCAGCTGATGGAGCGGGGGCTGACACAGCTGACACCCCCCAAAAAGCTGCGCGGTTGGTGTTACATAAACTGCAGCCCTCCCTCCATCGAGCTTCTCGCCGGCTTCCCGGTGGCCGGGCTTGGGGTTTGGGGCAGTCGGGAGCCTCCTCTCCACTTTTTCCCAACCATCTCTGCCGGTGCTGGTTGTGTAATAGTTAGGAGGC